ATCGAGGACCAAGAAAGGCAACGTGGCAAGAGACTTTGGCATATCGACGAGCACACTGTCAACCATCTTGAGCAAGCAGGAGTCCATCATCGACGCTGTTGCACGTGGCGTGAAAGGAAGCGCTAAGAGGATGAGGGCACCTGCCTTTGAAGCGGTCGAAAGGGCCATTTTTAAATGGTTATTAGACACGCGGGCCGTGAATTTGCCGGTGAGCAGCACCTTGCTGTGAAGAAAAGCGAGAGACTTTGCCTGCATCATGGTCTATGACAACTTCAAAACAAGTTCGGGTTGGCTCCAACGCTTCAAGGAGCGCCACGACATTGTCGGGAGAGCGGTCTGCGGCGAATCGCAATCTGTCGGCGAAGCAGAGGCTACCAAGTGGGCGAGAGAAAACATCATGCGGCTGCTAGAAAAATACAGCGCGGAGGATATTTTTAACGCGGACGAAACCGCTCTCTTTTTCAAGATGTTGCCGCACAAGACGTTAGCCCTCAAAGGCAAGCCGTGCCATGGCGGCAAACAAAGTAAGGTGCGGATCACTGCGCTACTTTGTGCAAACATGACCGGCTCTGAGAAGCTGCCAATTTTCGTAATTGGCAAAAGTGCATCCCCTCGCTGCTTTAAGGGGAAGAGGCAGCTCCCAGTCAAGTACAAAGCCAATCGCAAAGCCTTGATGACCAGGGAGATTTTTTTTAAATGGCTTTGCGAGTGGGACGAGAAGGTGGCAAAGGCGAACCGCAAGGTGTGCCTTGTTTTAGATAACTGCACCGCCCACCATACCGCTGCCGTGCTTCAAAACATCGAGCTGCTGTTCCTTCCTGCCAACTGCACAGCAAAAAATACAGCTGCTTGACCAAAGCGTGATTATGTCGCTGAAGGCAGGTTACCGCAAGCGTGTGATAGACAAGCTCCTGCTCAACATGAGGATGAAGCGAGACACCGATGTTGACTTGTATGCTGCGCTCGAAATGCTTCAAGCGGCGTGGATGAGTGTGACGGCGACCACGATCGCAAACTAGATCGCCGCTGCACTAGACGCCAGCGATGAGCCATCAGACGAGCCCACTGTGCCAGACGGTTTTGCACATCGGACGAAGTCGCTGCATCATGGACGGCACTTCGTGACGGTGGTGTCGTGCCTGACAGCGAGTCGTTTTGCGACTATGTGATTGCGGACTAGGAAGTGGTGGCAACAGAGGAGCTCCTTGATGACGATATTGTGCGCGCTGTCAGTGATCGTAACGAAACCAGTGACGATGACTCTGTCGACGAACAGGAGACAAATGTGCCGACGGAGTCGGAGGCATTAGACGCGGTGGACGTACTGCGCCGCTACTTCGGCGCTCACGAGGGCGGCGAAGATGGCTTGAACATTGCGGCCGCAGCTGAGCGAGCCATCGTTCGCATCAGGAAGATGCATCAACGTCCAATTACGGACTTCTTTGCAGCTAAGTCTGCCTGAAATGCAAGCTGTGTATTTTGAAGTGCATTAAAACAGGTGCATGACTTTTCCCTTTTTATTTGGGAATGCCGTTATTTTGTTGCATACCACCGTGCGGTGAAATGCTATTTCGCCCGCTATTTTTTTTGGGTAAGTACAGTGCACAATAGTTGCGGTAAATGCCCGCTAGAGCTATAACGAAATATTGGTTATAACGAGCAAATAGCGGCGGCCCTCCAATTTCGTTATAACGAGGTTTAACTGTAACTAAAAGAATAAGAATAGGGTGGAGCACATTTGGCAAGCACTCGCAAATCATGACAGGTAGATTGCCATTATCCCTCAAGAAGAATGTATATAACAGCTGCATCTTGCCTGTAATTAGCTACAGAGCAGAAACCTGGAGACTTACAAAGAGGGTTCAGCTTAAATTGAGGACGACACAGCGAGCAATGGAAAGGAAAATGGAAGGTGTAACATTCAAAGACAAGAGAGCAGAGTGGATTAGGGACCAAACCGGGATTAAGGATATCATAATTGAAATCAAAATGAGAAAATCGACATGGGCCCGGCATGTAGCACATAGACAGGATAACCGCTGGTCATTAAGGGTGACTAACTGGATTCTCAGAGAAAGCAAGCGGGTTAGTGGGAGACAGAAAGTTAGGTGGGCAAATGAGATTAAGAAGTTCGCGGGTATGTATAAAATGGCAGCAGCAACCACAGAAAGAGTAGACTGGCGGAACATGAAAGAGGCCTTTGTCATGCAGTGGACGTAGTCAGGCTGATGATGATGATGAATCTGCCGTAACGGATCCGCAACGGGTTCCTATGGACTACCTAAAATTCACAAGCCTGACGTCCCCCTTCGTCCAATTGTAGACTTCACTTCCTCTCCATGCCGAGCCCTTTCAAATTTTCTACACCGAATGTTTTCCCCCTTAACCCGGTAGAGACCATCTCATGTCCGTGACTTCCGCCACTTCGTGTAGCTAGCGTCACAGGTGAGCATTGACAATGACGAGAGCCTGGTCTCATTCGACGTCGTTTTATTGTTCACCAATGTGCCAGTGCCCTTACCTGTGTCCTCTGCCCATGCTGCGCTTGACGCAAGCCTGAGTGAAAGGAGTCCTTTGGCTGTTGGCGAGCTCTGCCATCTACTGCAATTCTGTCTGTCTAGTACATACTTCTCCTACAAACGAACAATTTTCAAGCAGAACAGTGGAACCGCAATGGGAGCTTCCATCTCCGTCACGATGGCAAACCTCACCATGCAGTAAATAGAAGAGAAAGCACGTAGCTCCTTCTTACCGCACCCTAAGCTCTTTCTTCATTACATAGACGATTGCTTTTGCATCATGAAGACGTCTGAAATAGAAAAATTCAGACAGCATCTAAATTCCGTGCACCCAGCCATACATATTACAGCCAACTGAAAAGCGACTGCAGCCTGCCCTTTCTCGACGTCCAGGTGGCAAGAAAGCGCAACGGCCTGGAGTTCTCCGTTCACATTCCTGGAAGCAAACGCATACTGGCCGCTACCTTCAATATGATTCATCCTATACTACCTGTCACAAGTCCTCGGTCGTGACCACGTTACTCCAAAGAGCCCAGAACATATGCTCCAATGACACAGAGCAAAATAAATAAGAGGTCCGCGTAAATGTGGACCTCATAAAAAACGGATATCTAACAAATCTTCATACCAGCCATCACCTGCTGCGCAGAGCAACAGAGGATACGAAAATCCCAATCAGCATTATTTGGCAGCCCTCCAAAGCACGTACCTATCCATACGTCCAAGGAACCAGCGAAATGTTGGCACATGCCTTCAAGAAAGAAGGGGTTCACATGGCGCACGTATCTTCATGTACTCTGGGCTGCCTCCTTCCCCGCCTGCTGAAAGACTGGCCAACAGTGAACAAGCCCCCCGGTTGCGTTTATACAATCCCATGCATTGAGTGACCTTCTTCGTATATCGGCCAGACAAAAAACCTACCGGAACGACTCAAACAGCACGCCAATGAGGTTCGCAAGCTCTACAAAGAGCGCATCGCCGTCGCCGAGCATTCCGAGACGCTTGACCATGCGACGACCATCCTTGAAAGCGAGACTAACTGGACGAGAAGGTTACTACTCGAGTTGTGGCATATACAGCGAACGGTCCAAAACATCAACCGTTATCTCGGAACTTTTCGCCCAGTGTTTGCACACGTACTACGCTCCGCGGCAAAATGGGAGAGATAGAGGAAGAGAGAGGAGTCATTAACCGCCCCGCGAGTGCTTTGAAAACGCTGCTGCAACGTAGCCCCAGTCTCCCCTGAAGAAGGAACCAATTCGGTTTCGAAACGTCGGGTTTAAGCATATTCAAGTACTTTTTGGTTGGAGTCTAAATGGTTACACAGTTTTTTAATTCCAGGCACCATATATTTACGAGTGCTAGTATGATCGTTAATGTCAAAAACTTTCTAGACAGTCATACAGAGCCGTTTATGCATTGCTGTGGCCCTGACAAACAATAAATGAAAATTTAAGCCAAATTTCATTGTTCCATACTAATTTTCTGTTTTCTGGTGGTACAAATTTCGGATGACTCAAATATTTTTCATGACGATACAAGATTCATTTCACTAAAGTTTCACATTAAGCCACATTAGCATGGAGAAGTTCACAGCCAAAATGCAAAGGAACGTTTTCTAGAAACTGGCAAATATCTAATGTCAAGTTGTTGAAGTTAACTTCGGTATTTGAATAACTGGCACCTTAGAGCTGAGCGATGATGGCCCCGCCGCAGTAGCCTGGTGGCTAAGGTACTCGGCTGCTGACCCGCAGGTCGCGGGATTGAATCCTGGCAGCATTTTCCATGGAGAGGCGAAAATGCTGTGGGCTCGTGTGCTCAGATTTGGGTGCACGTTAAAGAACCCCAGGTGGTCGAAATTTCCGGAGCCTTCCACTACGGCTCCACTACAGTGATTTTGGGACGTTAATCTCCACATATCAATCTGAGTGATAATGAAAGACTTCTCTATTGCGATGATGCATGAGCGACCCACAGCAGTCTTCACTGGACAACGTATTCTGAGCACAACTTGAGAAAATGTGAAATGGCAGTTAAAATAAAACCAATTGCCAATCAAGTGCAGCGATCAGTGACGTGACACACCAACTAGCCCAGAAACGACCAAGACTCATTGAGAGCACGTATGGGGAGATATTACCTCAAGCGGACGAGCCACACATACTTAACACGGTTAGGGCAGTTTCGCAAGGACAAGCCATATAATATTACATCGCAAAACCACGATATGTTTATGAGCTACACTGAAATGGAGGGTTTAGAAATTTTGACTATCCAGTGTTCTCAAGCATGCACTGACATCACACAGTGCTTGGGCCTCTGGCATTTAGTCTCCATGAAAATGCGACTACTGTGGTCATCACCACACCCTTCGGGTCAGCAGTCGAGCACCATAAGCGCTACATTAGTGCAGTGAAAGAGGATGAGCAGTGCTTGTCTAAAATGGTAAGGAGTCAAAGCAGCATGCTGCTTGAGGCTAACCTGGAAGGATCACTGTTGATGCCTATGATGGGCTTGTCACGCGTGTGGATTTTACTGGCTGCCATAAGAAATGTGCCATCGCCTCCTGTCGTGAAGATGACATCTGCCCAGTCGATGTTGCTGTCAGTGTAGTCGAACCGGTCCACGAGTCGAGTCTCAATGCCATTCTCCCTGCAACCGCAAGCAAAACACTGTCAACAACCACACAATACAAGCAAGAAAAGAAAAAAAATGCACGGCAGCTCCACTATTGGCGAACCCGAGGAAGTGCGTCGCGTGAGTACATTCGTAGATTTCCCGCTGCCCCGTTTGGCGAACAGCCGTTGACGCCAATACTTATTAAAGTAAGCATGGGGGGTTTCTTAACAATTAGTATAATCTTGTTAGACACATTCACGAACTCTATGTGCAACACGTGCACTGCTTTTTGCTGCTCTTTATCAACTATTTGCCTGTTATGGAAGCTGAGATACGCGTAATCTGCAGGGAGATCTGTTGGGTTGTCTCCCCCATAACATGTATTCACATAGCAAGGCAGCACCGACGCAGCGGGACATGCATTCACTCGCATGTCGAGGCAGAGGTGCTGTCTGTTGCATCCTGCTAGAGTCAGTTCCACACCTGGCAGATGTTTAGCAATTTTGATTTGATTAATGCAATTGCTTCTTGGCTGTTTCTGTTAATTATATTATTTTATACCTTGTTTGAGCATTGTTACCCTTGTTGTGGCCTGTATAGAGCCCTTTACAGTGAGCGTGATCATGTCACACGAGATCGATGATCGACAAGCCGGGCCCCTCAAGTTCTCCACACTAAAAAGAAGGCATTGCAGTTGAACGCAGAAGCTTGTGTGCAACAGCCACACACCTCAGTTTTGTCTGCTCAAAATGTCACTATTAAAGCGGAAAATGTACACTGAACTCGCACCTCTTCTCGACAACAATGAAGTGTAACAAAGGGAGCATGTGTAGCTGATGTGCCTGGTAGTGTCGACGCAGAAAGACCTTCCGTACTCTGCCATCAACAATGATGACCGTCTACAACCCACCCATACCAGTCAATCAAGGCCATCAATCAAGACGACATCAGGCAGTGCCAGGGCAATCTGCTACTCTTGTTGATCACTACCAGGAGAATACTGTTAAACTCATATATCAATAAAAAAATTATATATATATATATATATATATATATATATATATACATAGAGAGAGAGAGAGAGAGAGAGAGAGAGCATCGAACGCGTTATTCGGAGGTCGTAGGTTCGATTCCTGCTCACGGCTGGTTATTTTTTCACCCACTTTTCTTCTTATTTACATTCCATTGGTTCTAATAACTTCCCCTATACATTCCTTGGCATTACTGTCTGTTAGATCTCATTAATATTGTGTCAAAACACGAAAAAACGAGCCCTTAAGAATACACTTCTTTCCCTTATATATATATATATATATATATATATATATATATTTCATCATATAACTCATCCCCTGATGAAGGGAGGACCCCTCCCGAAATTGTTGGGAAATAAATATATTTAACCTTGATGACAACGCTCCCGTTGTGCCATATCCGATACCTTCACGAAGACTAACTGACCCATTGAATTATTACTCCCACTATATATATATATATATATATATATGTAACGGATGGGACATGGCGTCAGTCAGAACACCAGTCTTTTCTGACCCTTCGTCTTCCTCATCTTCCTTCCCCACATTCACCTGTGAAGCGTCACACGTTTCCCCCTCCCCCCGAGAGAGCGTCAACTTATTGGGACAATTGTAGCGACGCAGTTTGTTGACGTGCACAATATCAGCAGTTCTGCTTAACGGAGCTACGCATCGGTCGATCTCATAGTTCACAGAAGAGACTCTGCGAAGAATTGTGTAAGGTCCTTCCATGACTCAGCTGAGCTTTCCTTTGTTCGGGTGCCAAGGTGTTTCGTAGAGGACCAATTCACCAGGTTGGAGATCTTGTGGTAGGAATTTTTTGTCGTAGATTATCTTGTTCTTCTCATGATAGGCAAGCGTGTTCTTGATCGCACTTTTCCTTGCTTCTTGCACACTCTCCATTGGTGCATCTAAAATTGTGTCGTATGAAGGAATTCCATACATTAGGTACGATGGTGGATATCGTGTTACTTCATGTGGGGTTCTGTTGTATTCATCGACAACATCCGAAAGATGTTTGACCCAAGACTTCTGTGGCTGCTCATTCATTTTGCACTTTAGCCGGGTTACAATAGTCTGATTTGTACGTTCGTTCATGCCATTACATTGAGGGTGTTGTGAGGATGTGAACAATTGGTGGACACTATTGCGTTTTAGAAACTGCTTGAATTTTCCAGCTGTGAAAGCTGGTCCACGATCAGATAGGAACTTCTTGGATTTTCCTGCTGCAAAGATGGCGGTGATGCACGAAATGTATGCGTCACAAGTTTCGTTCTTGTGGGGAAACGCCAAGACATACCGCGTAGCGTGGTCGATCGCCAAGTGAATAAACTTCTTTGTCGAGCCATATCCTGAAAAGCCACCTAGAGTGTCCATTGCTAAAAGATCAAAGGGTTGTTCTGCAGGTGGTAGTCACTCGAGAGATCCGAACCTCTTGGTTTTCGGCTTCTTGCAACGCTGACATATGTCACAGTGGCGGACATAAGATGAAACGTCTGTGATGATTTCCGGCCAATAGTAGGATGATGACAACAAGCCCAGAGTTTTCTTTACTCCGACGTGTCCGAACTGACAGTGTGCTATCTGCAGAAGGCCCAGTCGAAGCTTGAGAGGAACGTACACTTTGCGAATTCCTTTACGTGTCACGATAGTGACCCCGTTTTCCGTTGTGTACTTGCAGCGAGGGCGGTGATCCTGGTAAGTTTGAAGTTCTGGTAATGAAAGGAGTTGAACCATAGGGCTTCGCGAAAATGCGTCCGCCTCGATGTTCTCGCTGCCTTTTTTTTGATGTCGAATGTTAACGTCATACATCGACAGTTTCAAAGACCATCGAAAGAGCCGGCCATGTGGGTTTTTTATGTTTCTGAGCTATTGTAAAGCAGCATGATCGGTGACAACAGTGAATGGTCGTCCATGTAGGTAGCAGTGCCACTTGTCAACAGCGTCAATTATAGCGAGGCATTCGAGCTCTGTAATGGCATAATTTAATTCGTGCGTGAGTAGCTTACGCGAGTGATAGGCAACGGGGTGTTCTTTACCATCATGATCTCTTTGCTTCAGAACTGCACCTACGCCTACGTTAGATCCGTCGCAATAAAGAATGTATGGTTTCTCGCAAGAAAAAATTCGTAAAATGGGTTCTTTGATCAGACAGTATTTCATGTTCTCAAAGGCTTGTTCACATGAGGAATCCCATTCCCATGGTGTTTCCTTCTTCAACAGCTTCGTAAGTGGGAAAACTATGTCACTGAAGTGCGGTATAAACTGGCGGTAAACGTTGGTGGTGCCTAGAAAACGCTGAAGCTCTTTCGTGGATTTCAGTCTTGGGAATCGCAATACAGCTTCTATGTTTCTTTGTATAGGCGACACTGTACCGTGCGACACTCTGTGACCCAGATATTCAATAGAATCTTGGGCAAAATGGCATTTCTTCAATTTAAGTTTAATATTCTCCATTTTTAGGGCATGCAATAGAGCTTGGAGGTGCTGTAGGTGCTCAGTAAATGCGTCGGAGAAGACTACGATATCATCAAAATAATTAACGACATTCTTTAAGTTATGTTTTCTGATAACTGATTTCACAGCTCTTTCGAATGTAGCAGGAGCATTTCTCAAACCGAAAGGCATAACAAGCCACTCATAATGGCCATTCGGCGTGACAAAAGCTGTTTTTGGGATGTCCTCTGGGTTCATTTTGACATGCCAATAGCTTGATGCGATATCCAATGTCGAAAAATATTTCGATTTTCCCAGGTAGTATAGAACATCGTCTATACGCGGAATAGGTTGGTAGTCAGGCACAGTGACAAAATTAAGCTTTCGATAATCAATGCATAAACGTGTGCGCCCTTCACCTTTTTTCTCTGCAAGAATGACTGGAGCCGCGTATGGGGAAAAAGATGGACGCACTACACCTTGCTTGAGAAGTAAGTCCACTTGCTTGACAATTTCCTCTTTGTCTGCCAGGGAGCATCGATACGGTGGTCTGTGGATAGGCACGTTGTTGCTGAGGGCAATGCAGTGTCGTTCCTCCGCGATACATCCGAAGTCCATCTGAGACTTTGAGAAAATGTCTTCGTAATTGTGAAGCACCTCTCTCAAAGCAGCTTGTTGCGATGGTGGAAGGTGCGTGACATCAACGGCTTGGAGAGGGGTTGTATCGGCGCTGAAGACACACTTTTGTGTTTGAAAGGAATTCTGCAAAGCTTTGTTGTCTTGAAACAAAGTCATCGTGTTTAAATCCAGTGACAGGTTGAAAAAGGAGGCGTTGTCCAGGCCTAGCAAGAATTCAGTCTTCATGCCTGGTAGAACGTGTGCTTGGACTGCCCGCTTTAACTTCCCTATTTCCAACTGTATGTGTACGCGGCCCAAAGTTTTTGTGGTTGAGGTGACTTGTTGGACACTAATGCATGAATCCTTGAGCAACTGCAGCTTCAGTTTTTTTAACACAACTTCATTGATACAGGTAATAGTCGCTCCTGTATCCAGAGTTGCGTTCACCATGTGTCCGTTCACAAGTGCACCAAAACGTATTAATGAGCCTTTGGGCCGCCCTCTTCGTTTCCCTGGTTGACAGTTAGAGCAGACACCATTTCACGGCGAGGGCACTCATTGTGCCAGTGAAACTGATTCGGCAAACCAGCAGATGCACAATGTCGGCACTCACTGTGAGGGGTGCGCATCAATCCTGTAGGGAGCCATGGTCGCGTAGAATGAGGCTCTCGACGCATGAGCTGCCGTTTTGACGAGTGTTGGGAAGCATCTCTGTGGACAGAGTCTTCCGCTTGAAGCGCAGCAGCAAGCCACTTGGCTGGGGTGGAGAGCATCAATCAAGCGAGGCGCCTTTCGATCTCTTCAGGTACACCATCAGTCAATCCTGATACTATGTGAACGTCTTTTAAGTCTGCGAGGCAACCAAGGTGTGTCTTCTCTTCGTAGTAGTGCCTGATGCGCTGTTCTCTTTTGAGCCTGCAGTGTATGAATTGGCGGAAAGGG